CCACAAATTCTCCTAAATCACTCGTACGCACAACTTAAGAACAAATCTGTGTGTACGAACGGTTCTTGCATGGGGCCCACTGAATTCATCGATCCAAAACTAAGGACTTAATTAGCTTAAAATGTCTTAAATCAATCAACAGTCTTAAAAATGTTAACGCATTGTAAATAGGATGGAACCCTACTTTATTCGACATGTTCTATATTTACAGGAAATACAGTTTTTGGATGTTTTCTTCTTTATTATTTTAATTTGTAGATTTTCTACATTTTTGAGGAAGGTTTTTTTTTTTTTGTTTGTTTGTTTGTTTTGCGGTAATCTTTTGCCCGTTGGTCTTTGTTGTTGAAGGCCAGAGACTTCACATCCTGACAGGATATCTCTGCTTTGTGTCAAGTAGCTGTGAGCAGGTGCTGTTTGAAAGCCCCCCAACCCCCGACCATCATATCGCCTACATGTCGAGCCGAATGCAGACAGCGTGACACACAGTAGTTGTGTTGTGATAAAGTGACAATGGAGAAGGTGGAAAGTTGCCAGTTTGATGTGAAGCATGTTCCAATGCTTGTAGTAAAATTGTTCCGTTTCCTTGTTGTGTTTCAGTTCTCCACAAAGACAGCCGAAGCAGACACCTCCAGTGAACTGGCAAAGAAAAGTAAAGAAACATTTAGGAAAGAGGTGAGGCCAACTCTTAGTAAATATTATCCTCAAGAATATATATTTTTGCGGTGTTGTATAAAGTACCACAAAGTGATAATTGAGTAAAAGTTCAAGTTTCTTATCATAAAATTGATAGAAGTTAAAGTCTCCTCTAAGAATATTACTTGAGTAAAAGTCTTAAATATCTGATTTATTTTGTACTTAAGTATAAAAAGTAAATTTCTGACATAAAATGTACTTAAGTAATAAAGGTAAAAAAGTACTGAGTAAAAATGAACGGTTAGGTTTTCCTAAATACATTCATTGGGAGGTGACCTCTTCAAAAAAAAATTTTCTAAAGGTGTGCAGCTTTGATGGGTTGTGGTCAAACTAATACAGTATCAGAATGGTATATATTTATATTTCTCATCCATCCACAATTAAATTAACTCTATCCAGGAGCACCAATTTTTCAGGATAGAATTTTTTATAAATAAAAAGCTGAAATGAAATAAAAGTAATGACTTTCTACTTCTTACCTTATTAAAAAATGTAAGGAGTAGAAAGTACAAATAATTGTGTAAAAATGTTAGAAGTAAAAAGTAGGCTGAAAAATAATTACTCAAGTAAAGTACAGGTAACCAAAGTTTCTGCTTAAGTACAGTAACAAAGTATTTGTACTATTTACATTACAACTCTGTACTTCTGTAACTCCTGAGTTAAGTTTACAGTATTAGAGGACCAGTATTACAGTGGGTGTCTAGTTATTTAAAGGATAGGAAACAGTTTGTACAAATAAATGATACAAGATCTGAATTAAGTATTATTACATGTGGTGTTCCTCAGGGTTCTTTACTAGGACCAAAGTTGTTTATTTTATACGTTAATGATTTGGTAAATGTGTCAGGGTTGTTTAAATGTGGTTTTTTTGCAGACGACACTACATTTTTTTGTTTTGGCAAATATATAGAACGGATGTTGCAAATGATGCAGATAGAATTTGCTGAAATACAAACCTGGTTTAAGCTTAATAAATTAACATTACCGTAAATTTAGATAAGACAAATTATATGATATTTTGTAATAGAAAGAAAATAACTGATGTTCCATTTAGAGTCGATGGTATTGAGATCTGTAGAGTCAGTCAGGTGAAGTTTCTGGGTGTCATCATAGATGAAAAGCTGACATGGAAACCTCATGTAAATCATTTAAGAACAAAAGTAGCCAAATCCATTGAAGTATTATACAAAGTAAAGGATTTATTTAATGATAAAGGTCAGTTTATATTATTTAATGCAATAATTGTTCCACACCTGATCTACTGTATTGATGTTTGGGGAAAATCATGTTAAACAATTACAAACCCAATTTTTGTTTTACAGTAAAGAGCTGTAAGAATTATCACCAGAAAGCATCACTATCACCYATCAMAYTCATTGTTCCTTCAGTTGAAGTTATTGAAATTCTATGATTTGGTTGATTCGGGTATTTTATCAGTTATGTATAGGGCTCATAAAAACACATTACCTTCAAACATTCAATTACACTTTGTTAAAAGAGAGAGCTGTTATAATCTCAAAGGGATAGAGACGTTTGTTAGACCCAAATTTAGAACCAGTTTAAAGGAACGGAGTACTTCTGTCCAGCATATAAGATTATGAAATAATCTGGAAGRTGACATTAAAAATGCCAGATCAATGAGTATATTTAAGAGAATGATAAATAATAATTTGCTGGAGAAATATGTAAATGTATGAATTGTTGTTGAAGGAGTTAAACCTTTATTTTTTTTTATAAACTAAAGATTATTTTTGATTTGAATTTATTTGTTTGAGAAAAGGGGCAGATATAATAAGATTTTATCTTCTTCTGCTACCTTTCATTGAATTTATGATTTGTACTTTTGTTGTATGTTGAATTTATGTTGTTCTTTAAAAGAAATGAATAAACTAACTAAATTTTGCCCTCGTTTTGTGTGTTTATTAGATGTCCCAGTTCATAGTGCACTGTCTGAATCCTTATCGGAAGCCAGACTGCAAATCTGGACGCATCAGCAACACAGAGGATTTTAAACACCTGGCTCGGAAGGTAAGAGGGAAAAAAAAGCTAGTTGGTACACACTAGGGGCGCAACAGTGCATGTACCATATCGAACAGTTCAATACAGAGCTTTAGGTTCAACACACACTTGTTTTGAACAATACAGATTTTTTTATTTTATTTTTATCAGCTTGTCTTCTGAAGATGCTCTTTGTTGACGGATCAGTGGATCTGTGTTCGACTGCTCCACCTAGGCTGTATTTTCAAGCTGTTTCAGCAACATTTATTTAAAAACCAAACTATTGAGATTATGTTCAGAATTAATTTAAATAAATTACAAGTTAAAATGAGCATGGACGTTTCTCTTTTTAGTATCGAAAAAATATCGAACTGTGACACTAAAGTATCGAACCGAATTGTGAATTTTCTGTATCTTTGCACCCCTGGTACACGGTATAATACTTCCATGAAATCCTGTGAGGCTTTTAATTTCCATCAGCCTCGGGAATATCTTTCCACACCTCCCTTCTTTGAGCTTTCATGTTATTTTTTTCTGCCTCAGGGCGTAACACACCCTACATGTAAACATTTATCTTCATATATTTAACTTTAAAGGCACTTTTTAAAACTATCTCAGCTCCTCTTAGAGTTGCGTTCTCCTCTTGTTTGTCGGTGGGTGGTGGTTATACATACATGGAGCGGCGCTCACACACACCAGGACCTCCAGGATATGGGTTTAAAACACAGGCGAGCTTGGCTTCAGTCATCTGGAGTACACATTTTGTTGTCGCAGATTAAAAAGAGCAGAGTCGCTACACGAGATTAACGACCTTAACCCCGTCACCCCGGGCTTAGACGTATGTTTTCTGCGTAATTTACTGCCGTGTGGCGAGCAGGAAGCGTTCTCTCATTATCTCCGCTCTGTGCCGCAGCTCACTCACGGAGTCATGAACAAGGAGCTGAAGGCCTGCAAGAACCCCGAAGACCTGGAGTGCAACGAGAACGTGAAGCACAAGACCAAGGAGTACATCAAGAAGTACATGCAGAGGTTCGGCTCCGTGTACAGGCCCAAGGAGGACACCGACGTGTTCTGACCTGTCCGAGGTGGGTCGGGGGGGTAGAAGCCTTCTCCGTTCACTCCTTCGTGTTTGTTCTGGCCTGCCCGAACAGTAAAGTAGTTCTTGATTTTATTTTTATTTGTGGCATTCATGTGAATTGCACTGCTACCCTGAGAATCTCTCCGAGGCCTGGTGGACTGGAGGTCCAGGACTYTACGTAAGGTGCAGTGTTGAAAAAGGATGACACTGTGGGGTGCTACAGAGACATTCACAGACTCTCTTTTTTATTTTATTTTTGGCTCTTAAAGGTTCCTGAGATGATCACCGTAATTCCAGTTTTTAAACTCTTTATTGCCCTGAATGAGGGTTATTAAACATGATTCAGCTTTTTTTCTTTTTCTGTTAAATGTTGTTTTTTTTTCTGTTTCAACGTGGATCAATGACAGAGCAGTCCAGCCTTGTGCCCCGCCCCCCCCACTGTCTGGTGCTGTTGTAAACCGGGCTGCAGGAGGTCCAAGCTTCCTCTTGGAGCGCCTGTTTTATGAATGCATGACACATGCTGAGGTCTGAGTGATGTTCTTACACTTTTCATATCTCTTCTAGCAGTGTGCCCTCACCAGGCTGAACTTTTACTGAGTTTAAGGGATCAGCTAGGGATAAACCAGTTGGAAAAGAGGTTGGAGCCCAGTATTTTCCTGCTCTTTTATCAATTTAATATTAAAAACAGGGTTTAAAATCACTGACGTGCTGTTTAACTGTTTAATATTCTTTAATCCAGCCCTCTCCCAACTCGTTTGTTCCCACCAGTAACGATACTAAAAAAATGAAGGTTGTAGCATCGCAGTTTTAACAGCGGATAAAAAAAAARATCTAAGTTGTGTACTCTTGATATGTTTTCTTTTTTTTACTACAAGTTCTCATCTAAAAGACCCCTCGGGTTGGTCGACCTCCTCGAACCAATAATTTTAACGACTTTTTACAGTGAAGTTAACTTAGCATTAGCTCCTCAGTTCCTCCCAGCCCATTACATTGCATTAAACAAAGTTCCAACATTTGTATATTGCTTTATATGTGAATATAATGAATAATAGTTTAAATACTTTGTAAAAGGACTCATTTCCTGATAGAGATGTAAATACTGTGTAAACAAAAGGAGAAAAAAAAGTTACCAAAGCTGTATGCAGGATAACGGCTTTGCTCAGCGAGCCCTCACCCATCCTCACCAGCTCGGCCATGACCCCCCACCCCCTTCGTCTACAGACTCGCTGCCCGATTGTTATACTTCACCGCCCAGGGAGATCTACCCATTCTTTTCTCTGTTATTGTTGGTGTTTTTATTATTTTTCTATGTACAAAGTTACACCCTATTCTACTGTAAGTATTGTGTAAGCACATTGTCATACCGAGTGTACAAACATTTTAAAAGATAATAAACTCTTTTTGTAAAACTATGTCCGATTTGTTTATTTACTTATTTATTGTGCTGCATGGTTAAAAATGAACTGCATTAATTAAATTACAGCATATGTCAGTGGCGGTTTTAGCTTTTAGCTGCTTCTCTAAACATTTGACCTTTTCAGTCACTGTTCTAGGTTTTTTTAGCTACTTTTCTATTTATTTTTACGGTGGCCCTGAAGTGCAAACCACAACAACAAACATTTCAGAAAACACATTACATTTCAGAAAACACATTACGTTTCAGAAAACACATTACATTTCAGAAAACACATTACATTATAGAAAACACATTACATTTCAGAAAACACATTACATTACAGAAAACACATTACATTACAGAAAACACATTACATTTCAGAAAACACATTACATTTCAGAAAAC